CGTTTTGAATGAAACCTTATCCTACTACCACAGAACTGCTAGAAAGCCCTTCACACATCATAGAGACTTTTTGCCGAGTCAAAATTAATAGTGGTCAGCTAGCTTTTTAGCCGCTTAACTCATTAAACAGAGTGCTATAGGTGAACCAAAAATCAGATGTCTGGTCGGATGCTGAGGTTACGGAGAAAACGGAGAAATTCTTGGAGAATAGCATTGTTCTTAGCAAGTAGGTGTTGCACAGGTAAAACAGATCAATTTTGTGGTCGGTCTTTGGAGAATTAATTCAGTGAACCAGACAGCCGAGTGGGATGTCTTTGTATGTTGTGAAGATACTGACGTTACTCATGAACATATCACATAGGCTTTTGAAGAAGTCCACACCATCCTTCAATTCAAAAAGAGGTTTATGAAGAAACTGTGTGGTCTATTCAGACAACTGTCCCGATTGGTAAATGGCAGTTGACTTAGTGTCTGTTGAAGGCTGCTGGTGTCTGCTGGTGACGTTCACTGATGAATTTCTCTAGAATGATAACGAGGCATCTGTAAATCATTTGTCAGGTAGAGCGAAATCCACCGAATCAACTACATAAGAATGCATCCAAAGTATTGCCAAATTTGGCAATTACTTCGTTAGAAATGGGGTCATTAGATGCAGTAAGCCTAGACGCTGAAGGCTAAGTTTGTATTACGATGAGAAGGACAGTTTGTATTCCACCATAAGAAGGCTGATTTAGTCTGAAAGACATTCAGCGCGAACGCTTGTGAAACAACGTAAGTTACGATGACACCTCTACCGCGGAGTTTACTACGGCAGTCAGCACGAAAAGAAATAGTATCAGTGATAGTCAAATGTAATGACCCTTAGTTTAAAGGTCACTAAGAAGACAGGATTCTTGAAATTCAGAATTCCTGTGACGAAAAGGCGTGTCAGCTTCCGATAATGTGATCTGACATCTACGGATATAATAGACGTGATGTTTGTTGCTTAAACACTTATGTTTAGAAGCTGTGATCCGGGCAGTCCTGTGTTATCCTCACAAATCGTAGCAATTGGGAAAGATACGCTCCCCCTTAAGGGACCTGGTACTGAGACACTTCACTGATCAGATATTACAACAACAAGAAATCATATAACATTGGCCGCGTTCAAAACATAAAACTGAAAGAATTAAATTATACAAGATTGTGTTTAAAGGAAGGATCCGCTGCGGATTGGCTTGAAAAAATCCCAAAGACAAACTGTATGGCCCCACCGACGACATTCTCAGTATGCAGCACTTCTTAACGTAGCACACCTATTTGGATTCGTCTGATATTTGTAGCAATCCAAGTCACCTAATTGTTCGTGGATGTTTTGATTTTAAGTCTGGGCAAAACCCAACACGATCGACTCACACGAACCTGCTATGGCTGGACAGAAAACAGCATTCACATTTTGCTACTAATAAAGAGCAAGTAGCAGGAAAATACGCACGGAATTCTTCGACGATCGCTCCAAAGTCGCACTTGTGGTTGTCTGCGTCTCTAAATTTCTTAATATCATTGGACCATCTCCCCTCCCTTTCTACCTAGACTAGAAATTACTCTGAAATGTGTCGCCCTTCACATTCGTAACCACTTGATCACAAGTCATTGGCTGTTTTTTAAGGATTTGATTGATTGTAAAAATTTCCACGTTAGTTTCTTCTAGAGACATGTCCTTGACTTGCTCGGTCGAAGCTATCAACCTCCAGTCCTCAGTGTTCAGCTACATCAGCTCATTGCTTTGGTTGCTATGGCATCTTGAGTCTACCACCAAGTTGTTTTTGACCAATCAAGAGAGGCGAAATTTGCACGGCTCATTGATTTCTGTCGTAGTATTTGATGCAAGGATCTCAGTCTACTCCCGTCATTCTCATTGACCTGAACAGTAACACCCCTGCGAGATCAAATCTAAAGTACAGAACCCCTTGCTCTTTATATTAGGCTGTATGTGTCGGTGAACGGACAATAGCAATGAAAATAGTGTTCAGGCGAGCGACCTAGACTGGTAACTGTTAGCATCACAGAGCCAGAAAATAAGCGGGGATCACCATTCCGGTTGCCCCTCGTGGGATCAAATGTCACCTGGAAAAATTGAACTCAACCCCCGAAGAACATCACCAGCGATTATGTTTGAGGGATGTTCTTCGAGCCACTGACGTCGTCTATTATCCCAACTAAACATGGTGAGCGGGGAACTTCATTTAGCTTGGACGGTTGGATAGCTGTGCAGCCGAAGGAAGAATTTTTGTTTCCGTTACAGTATGGCATAGATTACAAATCAAGTTACGATTCACCGACCAAGAGATGTGTGCGTTGAACTCAACCGTAGCTGTTTGGTCGCTTTTATTCAAGACTACTCAGCCATGCACTGGTTCGAAGCTCACGCTTCCTTTGAGCTCTGTGGTGGCTATGTACAGAAGGGGTACATTGTTTCGGTGTTTTTACAGTGGCTTATGTAGAGGATGATCTATATCGTTGACGGACTTGCGAAGATGGGATAATCAATGAGCACTTCAACTCTTAATTCACTGTTTTCCTATTAAACTAAGAACATTCAGCCGCTCTATTCGAGCACATCCGGTGGCGCATGAAATATTCTCACAACCTGAATTCCTCTATGGTTTGTGCAACTGACAGCTCCTATTGCATGCCTGAGTGCCGTAAGAAATCAGGCGCTCCCAGCTTGGATTTCACTGTTCACTGTGCGAACGGGCCCTCAAGCACCAAATGTGTTCGTGAATTAAGCACCAACATTCGCTCAAGGAATTCGGGCTCTTTTTGTAATGCACTACTCAAAAGGTTGCTGAAAACACCTCGACAGCCCACGACCGGTTTCGCCCTACTTGGGACTCATCAGGTAGGCTCAGTCTCCGAGTTTTCGTCAACCTTATGTTTTACATGAAACCAACTTGCACGAAATGAGCGAATATACACTCGGACTCTTTTTATTGATGGGCTTCATATGACCACTTTATTAAAAACCTGTTGTGATCTTGTTGTTCCGTGGTTCGCGACAAGATGGGCACGAAGTACACCTTCATTGATCGTTATAACCAAATTTAGTGTGTGCCTAGTTACTTATGCGCACACTCGTTTGAAAAAACAAACCAGTTGATTGTAAAGTAACATCTAGCAATCAATAGTGTCTAGCCTGGTTGTTATGTTTTTTGATCATCCGAGCAACCATAAGAAACGTGTAGAAGTCCTGATAGGTTCCCCTACCGAGCTCGGCTGATGAATTCCGAATAATTCGGACCAGCTGCACCATACAGCTATCTGCGACTAAACGTTGTTGCGTGCAAGAATAAAGCGCATCAACTGGCATGACCTTATAGGGCACTGGCAGTTCAAGACTATGGGAACCAAAACACAGAACGTCGATGTCGTTTCATATCAGGATGGAAGGTAAGACAATATTTACGTAGGTATCGGTTAACCATTGGTGATTATCTGGTATCTGAGAGCCCTGGGATCCCTCGAGATCCATTAGATTCTGCTCATCAGTGGAGCTAGCCGGAGCTTCTTCACATCCGAGCGGTAGCCAAGCTCAACAATGACGGTGAATACAACTTGGCCTACAATGCAATGAATCAGTTTATGCTTACCACATGAAAAGTATGGTAAAGTGGCGCGTCATTCTTGGTTGATATCAGTCAAATCGTATGTGCGTCTCGTTTTGGTAAGAACCATAAACTATAACTTATGGTGCCTGTTTGGAGCGGTAAAACTGTAACCAGGCTTTCAGTGATTCGGTTACGCGCATTCCAATTGGTAGCTTGCGAAATGTCAACCCTTATCCATGGGCCGTGAGATTTTATGGCATAAGTCCACTGGCTGGCAAGTACCACCAACATAGATGACACAAGCAAATTAGTTGAAGTTTCAGCTGATTTTTCTTATGCCTATCTAGGTCGGGGTCTTCTTCTGCTCAATGAATATACACCACCCACTGGAAGAACAGGCACATGGGTTCTCAAACCTACAAGCGAAAACAGATAGCAGACAAAATCCGAGAGCGGTTTAAGAGGCATATCTGTGCGTATGTGGAGAAATCAGCCAAGATTATCAGGGTGCTAATCTTGTCACGCATCCTGCGCTTCCCAGATTTCAGGTTTTGCGCAGTATGTCGGTTCTCTAATTTGAGATGAACAGAATCAGACTAGTTCCCTAAACAAACACTACTCAAAATATTGCTTAAAAACCTCCGAAATTTAACAACTGGCTTTGCCCTTCTTCAAACTCATCAAACAGGTTCAGTCTTCTCCAAAGTTATCTACTACTTGAATCCAGGTTTGATGAAATTCGCCAAACACACCCATTTACAAGCTAATTTGGTTTTAACGGAAAACTCGTCTGCATCCCAGCTGGCGTCCCTTTAACTAGCTACTCTTTCCACGTGACTTCCAGATGGCCGTGACTGAGACTTAGATAAAGACGCTGGGAGACGGACATTTCACCAGTTCGTGTTGTTTCGTTTCATTGCAAGGAGCATCCTTTCGCGTTATTCGGATGCATCTAGTAGAAACTCTCAAAGAGATCATTCAACAATAAGTGTAGAGCAAGCAGTTGGCCAGATGTACCCAGCCTGAACAGTTAGACGACGCCTAACTTACATTCACAGGAGTGCTGCTGGATAGGGCCCGTAACAAAAAAAAGGAAATTCTAGCATGTATGACGAGATGATGTTGTGGGGACGCTGAATCGTCCGCAACGACTGGATCAACAGTGGGGCAACATAGGAGCTATATCAGTGGATGTGTAAGTTCGTCACAAATATCCAAGCCCTTCCAAGATGGTCATAATCAGTGTTCGTAAATTCGGCCTGGTGTACCGTAACTAGTGGCTGCGTATATGTGTATTCCTCCGAACAGCGTCACGTGACCCATAGTTGTCTATCATCCAATCACCGTAAGAATCGCATGCTCTCAAATCGGTCTTGTAGAAAATGGATGTCATGCAGCCAACCGATGGAGAACCTAACATTCTTTATTGACACAGTCGCAAAGACACCCTTCTTTCGGTTCTGGGAAGAGGCCCACTATAGCAAGATAGGAGAAGATGGCTCAAAAAACGAAAGTCATGTAAAAGAACACTGGTTAGAAAGAAACGCATCTTGATGGATCTAAAGATTGATCTTCATTTTTTATACACCCGCGCTGAAATTGAACTGCGTTCCATTAGATAAACGGTGAAGAAGAATGACCATTGGAAGGGGGTGCCTTGACTTTATCCTGTATTTCAAAACGGAAATCCTTAACTGTTCTCAATTTTTTAAATAATATCAAGATATCACGTCGTGGATATCAGGTTCCGTAGGAAAAGCGTACAAAATCTCGAATAATGAACAAATTTAAACAGCGAAAGCGACTGCCACTGGATTATCAATCTTCGTTGCAGTCTTCGGTAGAGTCTTTTAAAGCGCAATTTTCGATGACCTCTCTGGTTATAGTCCAATAAAAAGGCCAGAAAAGTAACAGATAGGAGGTGTAGATAAAATGAACCTTTATGGAATGGAACCTTCGTTGTCAATCAAATATGAATCAGTTTTTTATATGAACGGAATTAAATTCGAATTGACACAAGCAAATTGTCAAACCAATATGTCAAGTTTCTGTGCCTCTCACTTATGAGGATACTTGTCCGTCCTTTTTGCGCCGCTAAATAATGATCAAAAACATATTAATATTACGGATTTGGAACACAGATGACGCAATATGTAAAAATCACATGACTTTAAAAAAATAATGCGAATGCTAGGAAACAGAGTGACCTGCACATGGGTAGCCAAAATACCATAGGCTGGGGGACTAAACGGTAAACGCAAAAACGAAATTCCTTGACTATTCCGGGGAGAACATCGCAAATCTTTAAGTAACTGGACAGAGTTTCGTCAGTCAGAAATTGCTTATGGGAGACCGCACTCAGCGGTTTTCTTGAGCTAATTGCCGATTTGGAACCCGTCGGTCGTTAAGAACTTTTTCGATGTTTGGCGGCTACGAGTATACAGCTAGATTTCGCATGAGTTCACCACATCGAATAGTGTAAGACAAGGCTACCCTCTATCATCTTTCTCCTCCAGCCTTGTTGTAGATGTACAACTAAGAATTCCTCTGTATTCCTCCGGAACTTGTTCTGTCGTTCTAGTTGTACTGCATGGTTTGGTAGGTGATTCAGACCTGTGTCCCGATGCATTGGTGTCGGTGATTGTGGCACGCAAGTTGTGATTTAATTTATTCTTCTAATAAACTGAAGTGTTACTGTATTTTTCTAGTCCACACGAAAGAAAATGCCACCAGTATGTACCGTAGAAAACGCAATTTCTAGAATACTGTTAGTGGCATAGTTGTTGCTTTAAAATTAGCTCCATGGGATTACACTGTATTGTATACTAATTTAGATTCACCTGTCGTTTTAAGGATGATGTATTAAGCTCAGTTTGAATTTAACTTAGGACCTAGGAACTATATTCAGAAATTAACCCATAGAAAGTTGTTTCGTGGCGTTTCGGCTACATCCGAAATTCGCGGGTGTCTCTGACGAAGGATTCGGGGACCGATGGAACTTCATCCAGTTAACCAAACAACATCACTGGTGCTCTCAGTTCGACTATGCACCTCACTTCAGAACAGGGAGACACAAAGCTATCGTCAACAGACCTTTGATCAAGCATTCTGTTCAGTAGACTGTCCCGCCTGGTGAGAAATCACTGCAGCTGTTTATGATCCTGGTATCTACTGGGTGCCGAACTCACTACAACACAGTTTTCCATTTCCTGGGATAAGTCATTCTGTACCATGTGAATGTATGACTAATTATATCTTATGGAATGGAACTACTCACAGGGTTGCTGAGTAGTTTCATTCAAGAAAATATACTTGCGATATCTGGCACACGATCTGACGATCTGCGCAGTTGTACTCACAACTGAACAATCCACGTTTACCTCCGCAGACTTCTTCGTCACTTTCCACTCTTCACGAAGATTAATAATGTTCAAGCCCCTGAATGTTACCCGCAGAAATTCCTGAGATTTATAAACGCGCCAGTTAAAATGGTTACTGAAGACCTGCACTCAGGGAATAGTAATTGTCCTTATGGTCGGGAACACTTCTCATTCGTCAGCAGAACAAAAAAAGGTCCAACTGACATAATGTCCCACGGAATGAGAAGCGTGATATTCGGAGCTTTAACGAAAACAACGAAGACGCCCCTCTTCAAGGAAAGTGACCGGTCATTATTGTTAAATTGTAAGGATGCAACAAGTGTTCTTTGCTTGATTACCACCTGCAAGTAAGATTCATGCTGTAAGCGGCAATTATGGGAAAAACAGTGTTTCCGCCTGAATTCATACTTTGCGTTATGATTTCTCTTTAAGAAAATGGTTCTCTTTCTGCCGACTGTTACCAAGAGTGTTTTGAAAAACACAGCACATGATCGGATTAGGGTGACCACGCCAAACACATACATTACTGTAGAATAAAAATGGAAATATCATACTGTCGCTCACCCTGGCCAGTTACGGGGCGTCACAGTTGTAACGCGACTCTTTGATGGATAACCGTCTCCATTCCCTTGAATTCTCACAGCGTTGGGGTATGTTGGGGATGCACCCATATAACTCGTATATAACTCATCGTAGCTTGGTCGAATTTCCTGTGATCTTTCTACAGTAACAGTGATTGGATTTGTCGGTTGGCTGTGCTGAGGACAGATAAAAAGCGATCAACAAGGTTGGGTCTGCCAAAGCGTTTGTATGCACATCTGACAATGAAAAGATCGGTCTACACATCAGCTTAGGAACTTTGAATTCAGACAACAGGATGGGGATCAACAGTGGTCACCTAAACACAACAAGATGACCGCAGTAATCTGGGTGCTTCAAAAAGCTGTGCGCTTATGTTCACCGGATGATGGCAACTTCAGATGAGTCCCTAACGTCAGACAAAGTCGTAAATCGTCTATTAGGGCTCAATAGTTCGTGGAGCTATCTGACTGGGAAGTTACTCGATCGACACAGCAAGGACATAGTCTTTGGTTTATTTGATGAGCTGGGCAATTAGATTGCAAACGATTCTTTGCCAATCGAGGTGACATCATCAGAATGTTGTTAGGAAGCGTAGCGATGGGTCGGTGCTTGTGCGTTGAGCAGTGTTGCATGTGTGTTAAAATACGTACTGCTAGCCGGAGCTGACTTTCGGTCACGACTGGTTGTCTAGTCGAGCGGTTCCATTGATTGGTCTGTCATCCAGTGTCCTGATTGATTGGCGGTCACGTGACCTTTGAGCTTGGCCCCCATTCTTTCATACTGTGGTTGGTACTGGGATGACTTCTGTCCTTGACCTCCATGGATTTCATTTTGTACTCGTAAGCACTGGTCATATGTCTAAAGCACTGTTGCACGAGAGTTTTAATTTTTGCCCCGACAGATTTTCGGGACTGAATTCTGGTTAGGAACACCAAAGGGAGTGGTACGACGGTTCTGGAGTAAGATTCGTTGATGTAGTATCATTTTGCTCCAGTGAACAAGAGCAAGTTGAATTTATCCAAGCTCTCAACGATGAACACTAGTGATTATAACGCATAAAACTATAGATATAGAGTAATGGGTCAAAAATGCTAAATGATGTTGTTAAAGGCTACCATACAACAAGATTTAAAAACGAGACATTCTAGAAAATAAAAACATCCCAACAGCGAACTTCCCTTATTGAGGAGAAGACAGTTTCTTGTAGTTTGTGATGCCTGGTGATGCCAATTGCTTATTAGTTTACACAGAAATGTGTTCTGACATATCACCTATTTGGAAGCGCAATTCTGACAGTAGCTTGACGGGTGTGGAGGATCAAAATGTAGTTCAATACAAGCCTTCATTTCAGAAGAGTTGAATTTTTGTCTGTGTTCTTATTTAGTAACAATTTCAGGCTCAAATTTATTTTCATGCTGAGTAAGCTTCAAGCCCCCGAAAGAAATCGTAACATTGACTTGGGATGGCCCGCTGAATCAAACTTTTAAAGACCAGGATCACTGATAGTAGCAAGAACCAGGAAATTCGACAATTTGAACCGGTAAAGTCTTTTATCAGAAACAACCGGTTTTCATAAGACACGAGTCTAATGAACACAGGCAAAGAAAGCCCCCAGTTTTGTAGGCTGAGTAAATTAAGTAAATTTTCGGTAGACTTTTAGCCTCAAAGTAGAGTGTGAGACCAGATTCTTTTTGCGATAAGTATGGAGAATACTTAACAGGTCACTTAAGTGACCTGAGTTCAACCTTGAGTTCAACAGTATTGTGCGTTAACTGTTGGCCACTAGAAAGAATGGGCTCTCTCCCATATGAAGAGGTTGACTGAAGTTACTCAAGATGGCATTTCTCGTACACTTTAAACTGCGTAGCACCACCATTCCTTCTTTTAATGCATCAAACCATGATGAGGTGGTCCTGCACACAGAATCACATACATTGCAGATGTATCAAAGGAACAGCATGGTACGATCTCGTGGGTGAAAGAATGGAGACACGTTTGTCTAACGCAGGTTGACTGTGTTTGGTGAAAGTTATAAAGAAACCGATCCCGGCCTTCTCCAGCCTTACTTTTGGAGTACAAACTCCTCTGTGCAGGACATCTCACCTATTCACATAGACCATGAATGTTAGTAGAACAACACGGGTGAAGCGACTAGGCGAAAAAATATTCGAGGGTACCAGGCGGTCGATAGCATACGGAATTTAGTACGACCTCTGGAGAACGGTATCGATTCGCAAGAATCAGAGCCCGATAAGACGCATTGACAGCTGGCTGAAAAGGTTTAATTTTAATTAGTATATCTTGTGTCACACCGCGTTAATTACCAAACGACTTTTATGAACCACCAAAGAAGGATGAATTTCGGACAACTGAAATGGAAAGTACGAGCTATCGCACATCGTATGCTTACTCCACTTCTGGAAGGTCTGTTGAATTCGCTTGGTGGAGGATCCGAGGTAGGTGGGTTTATTACTTCTTCAGCCAAATGTAAGGCACTTTTCGATTTGAATTTTTTGAATAGATCGGTCACCCCGGCTGGGAGTTTCACCTTCGAGTTTTTCTAAAAACCGGTAACAACCAGACAAGATGTCTTTCTGTAAGTGAGACCGGTCTATGCAAAACATGAAATAGTTTACAACTGTTTTATTCCTATTTGGATTCGTCAGTTTTACCTTTTTGACGAAACTCCAGGGATCATAAGGTTGACGGAAACTCGGGGACTGTGCCTACCTGATGAGCCCCAAGAAGGGTGAAACCGGTCGTGGGCTGCCGACGAGTTTTCAGCAACCTTGTGAGTAGTTTCCTTTATGAAAACTCCAGGGAGTTTCGAACGCGACGACTTATCAGGTTGAGCATCTAACCCCTCGGCCACATGCGGCTGATTAGCACTTGAGAGGATGTAGCGCCACTCATACTTCAGTCACCAAAGCCATATCACGTGGTCCTCGCGTGATAACTTCTCAGATAGATGTTTCGCTCATCTTGTGAAGTTAGTCTCCTTTTGAAATATCTATTTTTTGGTGATATTATAGGGAGATTTGGTAATTTTCGGTTAAGATTTCGTCCTTTCCTTGCAGGGAGGTAGCGAATTAAAGACCCCCTTGAGTTCTCTTATATGTGCACCGCTGATGACACCAATGAGGATGAAACAGCTGCGATTGCTTTTCAGCACAGCTTGGCCTCACTTGAAAGACGAAATCTTAATTGGAGCTTCCCATATCTCCTCATGCCACCATCAATATTCGGACGGTTTGCTCAGTATATCGATTCAGGTAATGATTGAACTGCATACTTGTATGCCTCCAGTAAAGTTGGCCGCACGATTCCCGTTTCGGACTTGTTTTACAATGGCCGGAGTTGCGTTCAATTACGCCTCCAGTATGGGTTCTTACGTTAACATCTTCCTAAACCGAGCGATGTCGAAGTGAGGTCGGAAAAGGCAGCCAGAATATGCTACCTGTCCTTATCATGACCTATCAAGCGCGTGAAAGGGTCACGTGACCTTTGGTCAGACACAAGATCACCCACTCTTCGAACGGATGAAGACGTTAACATTTCGCGTGCTGCCATCAGCCGCGAGACGTAAAGCATGCATATCCTACATAGAATGGAGTCAAAAACAAAGTTGACATGCTTACACGAATGTCACATGATCAGAAACACAATAGCCAAAGGCTGTTTCAAAACCTTTTGTTCACACAAAGCTGGATTGGGAAATTAATTAAGACAACCCGGCTTATTGATCAAGGCTTTGGAACCCCTGGAATGAAGCATTCGGATCAGTCTATCTATCGGTTTTCAGTAACAGCTTGGGAACGGATCAAACAGAGTGCGCCTTGGACTTTGCTGTTTAGGAAAATTGCGTTGGAATAACATAGCGGTCTACGCTTTGGTCTGTGCGTTATAACAGACGCCGGTCTGTCTGCAATTGCGTAAGAAAAGTGGAATAATTTGAAAAGTTAAATAGTTCCGCGCTTGTTCCAGAGCACAAACGCATTCCCCGACCTGTTGAGTGATAAGGCTGGTCTGCATGTGAACTTTAAGGTGCAGACAAAGGGGTTCAGGATCAGATGCCAGCCACGTCGTCATATGCTTTGTTTTAAACATAAATCTAGTCTCGTAGGGTTTTGGAACAAAATTTTGGATCATTTTTGTTTCCTTTGGACAACTTGACCGCTTGGTACTCTTGTCAATTGTCGTAACCAGCGGCCTTATCCAGCAGACATTTGCTGAAACATCAGCTAATTTCATAGCTGACCAAAACGAGTCCAAACAAGGCTTCGTTTTGAGAGGGTGTGCTCTGCCATACTACCACCGGAATATACACAAAGATCGCGACGAACCATTTGAAGGCTCGTGGATCAGAAGGAAACATCTGGTTATCTGGCTGTTCACATAACCAGAATTAAGCCCCACCGACTGCTTTACTCAAGCATACATGAAGTAGTGTATCTACATGAATGGACGGAGGAAACTTCATGAGCGAGATTGTCCACACGGCTGCCGAGGACCTAGTGGCTTTTTGCTCTAGACGTTTGCCTGTGTGCAAGCAGAATGCTGGACGTAATTTCGATTGGGTACATCAGTAGGATTATGTGCATAGGACCAGGCAGCAATTTCCAGCAACTTTATGAGTAGTGTGTCAGGTCTAAGGAGCATCCTATGTCATGTCACTGAGTGTAGTTTTCGCCTATGAAATTCAGGACAGGAGATATTGTCCGTCAAATGTGCCATCAATAATATAATGTTGCGTACGCTCTACATTTCTTTCGGAGTAATTCCCGATATAAAGTGATTTAGGAGTCTTAACTACATGAGACGGACTGAGAATAATGTGGAAGAACTAACGGAGTATGCAAAAATGTCAGTTACTTTGATTCGGTCGTTTCGCTTGGAGAAATACAACATTTCAATTTGGCAGATTTTTTAAATTCTAAAACTTGTGCACAAATATTCAAGAGACACCTGGAAGTGGGATAGTTTGCTTACTCTTTCTTGAGCTTCTTGGTATTTTTGAGCCAAAATACTTTTCCATCGTTCGTCAAAGTTTTGCCACGCTTGCAGGAGTTCCGATGAGCTGCGTTCCTGCACACTGGATGCTATCCATTGAACCTCAAGGAGCACGTTATTCGCATTGTTAATCAGGCCTCCGGAATATCCAGAAGTCGACCACTTACGTACCCTCCTTTGAGCGTCCATCAGCTTTTCAGTGATTGATTTTCGCATCTTTATGAATTAAAAGTAGTGAATCGGGATATTGAAAACAGTTAGACTCCTCCTTTTTGTATAATTAAGCTTCAAAGTTCCATATCTGTTCTATGCCACCGTGCAAACACCTGTCTTTTGGATACTGAAGTATCATTATGCAGCATATTGTCCGGTTGCCCCGCTCTGGAGGGGTCCCATCAAGGGACCAAGCAAAAGTGGGCTTTCATGTAGGGTAGTCACCACCTAGGAAACGTTCATCGATGAAATATCCCGCCAAAATTAAATTAAAGTAGTCATTTATGTGGCCAATTTTTTGGGGGTGGGGGGTTTGACTCTCTGCAGAGAGACCCTTGATGGATGTCCGAGTAGAATGATTAGTTTAACAAGTTGAAAATATTACGCTCAAGAACAGCGCTAGGATTCTCGCAGTCGAGCATGGCTCTATCATCTGGGGAGATAATTGGTGACTAGAGATGTCAATTAATGACACCAACGTGAAAATTTCAAGCCTCCAAATTAATTATGAAGCCGCTTGCCATATACAGCATTGAGTCACCATCTGGGAATATATGACTGCCAGTCGTTGCTTGCTGAGCAGTGTCAGCATCTGGGATTTGTAGAACATTCTTATGCCGTTCCAGAGGATAGTCGCCTTGGGGTTAAGGACAACGTTCCTGTTAGCTTGTACAAAGCCATTGAACCTCGCTCACTTCGGGCATCAAAAGCTTAGATCTCTCTTACTGGCTTACTTCGATGAGCATCGTAAGAGTTCCCACTCACCTGATCCGTCACATCTCGTTTTTAGGAACCGGCGCTGCCTGTAAACGTTTGTGTCGGGATTGAAAGTCAACATCTGTCAAAATAGTGAAAGCCTGGTTGCCTTCTTTCGTGGTGGATCAAATTTTCGTTCAGCTGTTCGCCGAAGTTAGCAGTTAGTTTGCAAGCTTTTCGCAAAAATTCGAGGAGGCATCATCAGGATGCAGTTAAGTAATCTGATCAACCACCAGTAAAGTCAACACAAGGTGTACGATTCACGCGACAATACAGGGTGGAGCTACAAAGATGCTTAGTTTTCAAGGACACCAGCATTCAGCCGTTAAGTGTGAGTAGAGGTGTTCTGCAGCTGCAGCGAGGTTAGAAAACTTGGTCACAGAGGTAACTTTGTTTGTGGGCTTCTAGACAACAGTGTAAATGTGGGATAAAAAAACAACTGGGCTTCAACCCCTCAAGGAGATGTAAAAAGGTACTGCTGCGGTCTCTGAGTTTCTTCAGAAGCAAGGTGATTTAAGTCTTAGAGCTTTCGGTTAGGACCCTACCTCTCACGAATTCACCTCAATCTTCAAGTAGCGCAAGAAGTCTTTGGTTGGTAATGTGACTCGTTCATAGTCGAAATTCATGAACCTATATCTGGTCTACTAATAGCCACGTTAGTTTCACCGATGCTTTTGTGATTTTTTTTTGGTATTTTCGACACTGATGTTGCAATGTAGTGTTAGTCTGAATCAGGTGACTCAGCTAGTAACCTCTTCAAAACAGCCATGGACACTCACCCGACCATAGCATTCGTAGAATATCCAATGTACACTAAGGACCACTCGTTGCGTTCCCGCAATCCTAGTGATAACTAAGTCTGGATGCCTTGAGTAGAAGGAAGCAAAAATTTGTACCATCTGCGACTTGGTAACTTTATGTTGCTGTTCGGGGGTAGTTTCTGTGAAACAGGTTCACGTCAGAAGTTACGTAAACAGTCAGACATGTATGGCTAATTGGGGCTTATAGTGAAGTTTGCTCAGATTATTATCGTCATTGTTGTTGTGTACTTTTGAGTAACCACGTCTAGACATTCTTTGATTGGTTACCATGGACAAGATTTAAACCCAACTGAAGGTGAAAATGGAGGTTCTACGTACTGGAGTTACAGAAACCGAAAGTAGGGAGCGGAGGTGGGTCGAGGAGTTTGTAAATTCAGACTCACTGGTGATTGCAGTGTGTTTTCCTATCGAAAATTACTCCAACCAGTGATATCGGTAGACACTTATTAGTAATTCATAATCCGTTGCGCGATGAACGCTTCTGTAGCTCAGGAATTTGTCACTGATTGACCAACGCGCGTTCGCTTCCACACTAAAACTTTTCAGACGATTTCACTTATGGTGGTTGACCGGCATTCAGAGATCACAGCCCATCCAGAGTAAACGTTAATTTTCGCTAGATCCGTCAGTTGGCATGCATTTGACTGGCTAATGAGAGGAAGGGGGAGAGGCAGCTGTGATCGACAGTTGCAAACAGATAGCCTGCTGTCTTCGAAGTCATAATAGTTTCGACTCACTTTCAGGGCAAAGTCAAATATTT